TAAGGATATATTCCTAAAAACATTTAAATGAACATTTTAATATTTTAAGAAAAATACCATGAAGAAAATAATTGGAGGAAACAACAAATAGGAAAGAATTTGGTTTCTGGCCAACTTATTGAATTATACTCTCTTGAAAAGGATTTCTAAAATAAGAACTGAAATTGGATGGGTTTCTGGACTGAAAATCAAATAAAGATAGCTTTATCCATCCTTAACTATAAAAATCTGGCTTAGTCTTCAAAGGAAGAGAATATTACTGTTGCCTCTAGCTGACACCTAAAATTATCAAATCAAATGCCACAGAGTGAATCTTTGACTTTTCCCAAAGTAGAAGCCAGAAGGAGAAGATAACATGCCTTGATATATACTGATTACAAAAATTGCTAGTTTAAAACTGAAAACTGTATCAACATAAAACTCTCACAACAAAATAGTCAATACAGGGGTTTTTGGAAAGGGGGAGGGGGAAATCTTTGAGGGTCCCAAATCTTCCAACCTTTCCATATGAGTTTCTAAAACACAATTAAAACTTTGGATGCATTAAAGTAAGCTGTAAGAAAGCAATTTGATACTGCATGATTATGAAACATACAAAGCATCATTTCAATTTTTCTTTTAAGATTTATATGAATTAAGATTGAAGTAGCATGAGATAGTTTTAGCCTTTGAGTTTTGAAGTAAACTTTATAACATGACAAATTCCCCCTCCCCAGTGTATCTTAAAGTATGTTCTGTCAAATATCAGAACTAAAAAATGTTTGGCTTTTGAATAAATTGATTACTATTATTTTTTATTCTAGAATTAATAAACCATTCTAAACATAAGCAGTATAGTTGAAGAATTGCTTAAACAATCATATATTCATAAAAAACCTGTTAAAACTCTAAGAAAAAGAATAAAATAGTAAATTACAAATAATCGCTGAGAAGAATTCTTTATTATCTGAATAAATGAAATGGGGCATTGTCTTACCTGAACGTCTTTTCTCAGCATGACGATGGATAACCCACCAATGGGTTTTGCTTGTCTTCTGCCCATAGACTAAGTCAGCCAATTTTGCTCCGCCTCTCTTCCTGGGGCCTCCCTTTCCCAGTCTCGACTGAGGCGAAAGCTGTTGGCTATGTTTCCGTGTGTTGGCTCAATCTTTTCCCAGCACAGGACCTGACTAGCCCTAAGGGTGGGAGTGGATTCTCCATTGTCATGCTGAGAAAAGGCGTTCAGGTAAGACAACACCCCTTCTCCGGCATGTCGAGTGGAGAATCCACCAATGGGACATACCAAAGCCTCCCCGTCCCTGTGGGAAGGGGTCAGTCTGGGTCTGTGTCCCACTACACTCTGGAGGACCCTTCTGCCGAAGGAGGCCTCCGCAGGTGCGAACCTTTCTAAATTGTAGTGTCTTATAAAGGGGGAAGTGATGCCCAAGTCGCCGCCCTGCATATTTCCTCAAACGGTGCCTGAGTCACCCAGGCTGCTGAGGTGGCAGCGTTGCGAGTGGAGCCTGCAGTGATTTGCCTGGAGTCTGCTAACGACTGTCCCTTGTACGCCTCTGCTATGCACCTCCTAATCCATCTTCCGATTGTGGAAGCTGTGACCTTTTGAGCTCTTGTGTGAGAGTGAAAAAAGACGAACAGGGCTTCCGACTTGCGGAAGGGTGCCATCGTTTAATGTATTGTCTTAAAGCCCTGCAAATGTCTAAGGTGTGCCACTTGCCCTCCAATTCATGGGAGGGCTCGGGGCAAAAGTCTTGTAGCACTATCTCCTGTGTTCTATGAAACAGGGAATTGACCTTGGGGATGAAGGGTCCAAACGTAGGACCACCCTGTCTGAGTGGAAGATACACAGATCCTCTCTGATAGTGCTGCCAACTCTGAAATGCGTCTAGCTGAGGTAACAGCGACCAGAAAGGCGACCTTAAGGGTCAAATATTGTAAGGTGCAAGTCCGAACCAGTTCAAATGGGGGTAAGGTAACTGCCTGTAGGACCTTAGACAGATCCCAGGAGGGATATCTGTTGACCACGGGTGGACTGTCATTTGTTGTGCCTTAATGAAGGATCATACCACTGGATGCCTGGCCAATGGTTTAGAGTTGCCATAGGTAAAAATGGTAGATAAAGCAGCCACCTGTCTGCGAATTGTGTTGGGCGCTAGTCCCCTACCAAGGCCCTCTGCTAGGTAGTCTAAGATCCTCGGAATCGAAATACTAAAGGGGTCTAGTTGCTGCTTTGTGCACCAGCTGCAATAATTTCTCCATGTGGAGTCATAGATTGTTAGTTGTAGGCCTTCTAGAGGCCTGGATTGTCCTGATGACTCTTTGTGAAAAGGTCTCCTCCTCTTAGGATGCTCCGTTCAAGTGCCAGGTGGCTAACTGGAACCATTGTGGCTCTGGATGAAGTAGAACCCCCTGGTTGAGGGAGATTTGATTGTGTGGAATCCTCCATGGTGGGGATGTAGAGAGACGTACGAGGTCTACAAACGACGGTCGTCTTGGCCAATGTGGTGCAATGAAAATTACCTCTGCTTGTTCCTGCAATATCTTTCTGATGGTTGCTTGTATCAGAAGAAGTGGTGGGAACGCGTATAGCAGCCCTTCCAGCCAATGACCTCGAAGTGCATCTGCTCTCTCTGGCCCTGGTGACAGAAAGCGGGAGAAGAACCTCGGGAGCTGAGCATTCTTGGGGCTGGCAAATAGGTCCAGCACTGGATAGCTGAATCTCTCTGATGCTTCCCTGAAGGGAGCAGGGTGCAGACTCCACTCTGAGTGGTCTAACGTCACCCTGCTTAGGAAGTCCACCTGATGATTTGCTTCTCCTGATATGTGCTCGGCCTTGAGGGAGGCTAGGTTGCTTTCTGCCCAGGTTTCCCGTGCCTGTGCTTCGGTCATGAGAGCCTTGGATCGCGTGACCCCACTGATTGACGTGGGCTTTGGCCACCATGTTGTCCGTGAGAACCAGGACATGCTGATCCGCTACTATGTTGTGAAAATGACAGAGGGCCAGATGTATGGCTCTGAGCTCCAACCAGTTTATATTGTGTCTTAGATCTTCTTTGGACCATTGGCCCTGTGCCAGTTGTGATTGTAGATGTGCTCCCCAACCGAATAGGCTGGCGTCCGTGGTCAGGGTGACCCAGTCGGTCTCCTTGAACATGTGTCCCTTTCTGAGCGCTGGAGAAGCCCACCACTGGAGGGACTTCAGGACCCCTGGTGACATCCTTACTCTTCGGTTGGATGAGCACATTCTCCTCTTTTGGAATGGGAATAGGAACCACTGCAGCTCTCTGGAGTGTAGTCGTGCCCAGGACACGATTGCAAGGCATGAAATCATCTTTCCTAGTAATTGGGAGAGTGTGGCCAGTGTTGTGGTTCACTTTTTTTGAACCAATTTGACCATGGTTCGAATGCTGTCTTGGCGATCTTGAGAGAGGTAGACCCTGTACTGTAGTGTGTCTATCTATCACAGCTCTCAGATGTAAAAGACGGGTCGATGGGACTGTCTTGACTCTTTTGAAAATTTACTGAGAAACCATGTTCCTGAAGGGTTGTTAGGCTCAGTGCTAGGTCTGACTGTGCTGTCTGAACTGACGAAGACTGGACGAGAATGTCATCCAGATAACATTGAATGTGCACAGGAATTGTTCGCAGATGTGCCGCGAGTGTTGCCAGTACCTTTGTGAATACTCTGGGAGCTGAATAAAGTCCAAAAGGCAGGGCTCTGTATTGAAAATGCTGCCCTGTGTGGCAGAATCTGAGAAACCTCCGGTGTTCCGGAAATATGGGAATGAGAAGGTAGGCCTCCGTCAGATCTATGGACGTCAGGAGGTCTCCCTTTCTGATGCATGCTAATATTGACTGTAGGGTTTGCATTTTGAACTTTCTGTAAGCCAAATGGCTGTTGAGGCTTTTTAAGTCTAGGATTGTTCTCCACCCCCCCCCCCCGAATTCTTTGGACTATGAACAAGATGGAATAGAATCCCTGTCCCTGCTGGTCCTTCTCTACCGTTCTATGGCCTGGATGTCCAGTAGATGTTGGATGGCCTCCTTTATAAGGTTCTTTTTGGTTGGATCCTTTGGAGATGGACAGGGAATGAAGCGGTTCGGGGGTAATGAAATGAATTCTAGTGAGAGACCGAATCTGACGGTATTTAGAACCCAAAGGTCCGTGGTGGTGGCTTGCCATTTGTAAGCGAAGAGAGCTAGCCTGCCACCAATGAGAGAGTCCTCCCCAATGTCACTTGGATCTTCGGTAGGGGTGACCTCCCACTCCCTGAAAGGGCCGCTTTGATTGGAACTGTTGTCTGAATCTGTCCCTGTTGCCAGTTCTCTACCCTGTCGGTCTAACCTAGGCTTGTTCTGTGCCTGTGTCAGATCGAAAGGATGGTCTGCGGGGGTAGGAGTCTCTCCTCTCTGTTCTTCTTGTCAGGTGTGCCAGAATCTTGCGTTTATCCTTCTTCTCTATCAGATAAGGCTCGAGGGTCTCACCAAAAAGTTGGCCACCCTTGTAGGGTGCTGCCGCCAGCCGCCACTTTGCCTTCATGTCGGCTCTCCACTGTTTGAGCCACAGCAATCTGCATGCTCCGATGTTGTACGCTATTGCCCTAGCACAGTGGTTCTCAACCTTTTTAATGCCGTGACCCAACTGGTCGTAAGTCGAGGACTACTCAACTGGTGCAGCAACGTTTGCAGAATGGGACTTTTGGCGGGCTCAGCAGGGCAGAGACAGCCTGGACAATTCTTATTGGCTTTTGAAAGCCAATAGGATTAGACTCTATTCAAGACAGTCTATTTTACTGGCTTTCAAAAGCCAATAGAATAAAAGGGAGTAGCACAGCTAAGGAAAAGGGTAAAAAATGGTGGACTGCGTTGTTTGGCGACCCCCGTGAAATGGTCGTTCGACCCCAAATGGGGTCCCGACCCACAGGTTGAGAACCACTGCCCTAGCAGAATAGTTTGATGCATGCAAGGATGAATCTGACATGAACTCCGCTGCTGCCACTAACCTTCTTAAGTTCTGGTGGGTTCTCTCCTCCTCTGGTGAGATACTTGCCTGGAGTTGGCGTAGCGAGAGTAGTGAAGTCCTAGCAAAAAAGGATGTAGAGATGGCTGCCTTGATTGCCAACGCCAAGGCCTGGTGTGCCCTGTGGAAGGTAAGGAACATATTATCTTATTTCAGGGCCTCCGCCGCTTCCCGGGTATCGTGGAGAAAAAAGAGCAGCTATGCGTTCATCTATTGTCGGAACCTCTATTACCTCTGACAGTGCCGGATCTATATTGAACATTTTCTTGTCTGTCCCCCCCCCATTGGGAGGAAAGACCCCGGTGCCCCCATGTTATTCTGAACTGAATCAAAGAAAAAAGGGGGCAGGGGATAAATTGTTGTGTGTAAATGGGCTGTGAAAACACCTTGTTGTTTGTTACCTGACTAGTTGAGGGTCCCTTCTCAGGAAGTGAAGGTCTCTCGATCTTCGCGGTGCTGCTGGCCTTGGGAAGCAGGGGTTTGTATAGAGACAGATTAAAGAGGCCCACGAATAGTGGAGGATCTGGGGCTATATCCTCTTCCTCTGACAGCCCCTGATCCGTCAGCTCATGGTCTTCCGCAGGGGACCTCCTGCTTCTGGAGAACCAGGAGGGGGAAATTGAGTCCTGATACACAGAGACTTCCTCTTGGGAAAGGCGGGAGCCATCCTTTAAAGCCACAGACCCTGTTCTGGAGCACAATGGTGTCTTGAAAAGAGGCCATGGCCTGAGCGACGGCCTGAGATATCAGGATTGTAAGTGTTCTGATGACACTGATCCATGATTGTCTGAAATATGGGTGCCTGTTTCTGTCCCCGGACCTCCAGGCAGATAGGGCAGATCCTCTCCCGTGCTCCGTGTCAGCCTCTGCTTCCAGAGGTTCCTGACTAGGCCTTCTCGGGCCAAATATTTCCTCCTCCTTGTAACTAGGTGGTTCTAGTCCCTCCTCCACTGAGCTTTGCCTCTTCTCAGCTCTAGAAAAACTGTTTTTCCAGAGCCTCCTTATCTGCTGTTTTAGAAGGTCTTTTACCAGATATTGCCCTGGCTTTGATCCTGCCAGCCGCTTCCTGCTTGGATGATTTTTGCCTGTTACGATCAGGGGGGCTAATGGAGGCTTCCTGCTCTGACTGGATAGCGTTTGTGACTGCCATTTGTCAATGGGATATATTCCAGTGCAAGTCTGAGAGAGAGATAATTTATTTATTTTATTCAATATTTAATGTTTAATATTATTGGATGGAGGCTAGAGATAGCAGAGGAAGATTCTGTCCTTGAATAGATTTCCTCAGCTCGGCTGAGTCCCCTGAGCTTGTTAGAAGCTTCCTTGCTCTCTGCCTGCTGGCTGAGCTCAGGAAAAAAAACAAACTAGAAGACTTTTTGTGCTACGCCTGCTGGCTGAGCTCCAGGAAAACAAAAGGTGTGCGGTAATTTAAAGCTCCCTGCCGACCGGCTGAGCTTGAGAGAGAGAAATAAATGGAAGCCGCGGGAGCCCTGGCGCTCACCGCGGATCAGCTGGACTAAAAGGTAGAGCTGCAGGAGATCTGAGCTTCGGTAGGCTTTGGGGACCGGTTCGTTGTCTGCGGGCCAGCTGGGCTTCTGCGGATCAGCTGGGCTTCGGGGAATCCCCGCGGAATCCTGGTCCTTGTGGCTGCTTAGATTTTAAAATCTTGCTGTTCTAGAAGGAGGGGAACTAAGGTGATCCCTGTAGTTTGGAGGTGTGTAGGGGGGAGGGGGATGGTGGTGGTGGGGAATCCTCCCTTGGTCCTGGAGCCCAACGCAGAGCCAAAATGGTCTGGCTCTTTGTTCGCCCTCTGGAATCGGCTGTCCTAAAGGCAAGCCTCGTGGCTGTGGTGTAATTTGCCACAATGAATTTGCCACAATGAAAAAGGCAGTGAGGGGTGAATCTCCAATTGTACTTCACTCCCCCCCCCTTTGGGTGAAATTAATGGAAGAATATGACCTGATTTAAAGTCTGGAGCCAAGAAAAACCTGTCTGTCCAGGCTTGAGACTAGGTCAAGACTGGGAAAGGGGCGTCTCAGGAGGAGAGGCAGAGCGAAAATTTGGCTGACTTAGTCTATGGGCAGAAGATAAGCAGAACCCATTGGTGGATTCTCCACTTGTCATGCTGGAGAATACATGATTTCCTGAACTTCAAAAGAAAATATGGATGCTATGCTAAAATGCTAGCGCCCCCTTTATTAAAAAGCTAATAATGCATAAAATTCTAGGTATTGGTAGTCCTTGACTTACAATCATTTGTTTAGTGACTATTAAAAGTTACAATGCAGTTTCCCCATGGTCATATGATCAAAATTCAGATGCTTGGTAACTGGTTCATACTTATGACAGTATCAATGTCTTGGGGTCATGTGATCACCTCTAGCAACTTTCTGACAACCAAAATCAATGGAGAAGACAGATTCATTTAACAACTGTGTTATTAATTTTACAACTGCAGTGATTTACTAACAATTGTGGAAAGAAAGGTTGTAAAATGGGGCAAAATTCAGTGAACAACTGTTTTACTTAGCAACAGAAATTTTGAGCTCAATTGTGATCATAAGTCAAGGACTTACTGTATTAAAAAGAGCCAATCTACTTCTTGGCTCCTTGTTCTTAACCACAATTGTTAGCTCCACGCCTTTTGTTCTTAGCCACAATTGTTAGCTCCACGTCTTCAATCTGCCACTTGTTCCCCAGCAGTTTAAGAGAACAGTTATTTTAAAAAGTATTCCAGTGACCATCTTTTACTTATTTTCTGTAGAAAATACAAAAAATAACATTTTTTCAAAATTCTGAAATTGGAAATTTAGGGTTGTTTTTTTTTAAATATAAACATTAATTTAAAATTTTAAACTAGAAAAAAAAAGTTTGGTCTAGTGGTTAAGGTGTTGGCTTAGAAACTAGGAACCTGGAGTTCTAGTCCCACCTTAGGCATTAAAGGTTTGGTGACTCTGGGCCAGTCACTGTCTCTCAGCCAAACCCATCTCCCAAAGTTGTGGCTGTGTTGAAAATAGGAGAAGGAAGGAGTATTAGGTATATTTGCCACCTTGAATTATTTATAAAAATAATAAAGGATGGATAAAAATTAATAAACATTGATAGGTTTTTAATGCTACAAAAACAAGAGCATCTAAGAACAGAAACAATGCTTCCATATGAATTAGACATTAAGGCTGTATCTACATGTTCAGAAGTTTATTTAAACATTGGAGTGTGTAAAACATAGCAATTCAGCAACAAAACATCCATTCTCAAATTAGTCCAATTCAGTAAGAAAACTGCACTGAAACAATAACAAAATATGAAATGTTATGATAGTGGAATATTAGAAATTATGTTTGTGAAATATCTGGTTAGGTGTTTGACAAAAATGTCAAAACTGACATAATTGCCACCATAATTAGTGCAAGTAATAGAGATTCTGTAATCACTTCTCACAGGTTAGCATAGTTTCACCAAGCTTAAGTAGATTTTGATTGAATCATTCAGGCAAAGACTTTGCAAACAAATAGATTATCTATGCACCCCAGGCTTATGTAGCCCTAAAGATCATAATATTTCTTATATAATAGTAGTATTGTGTAGTATACAGTTGTTTTAATAATTTTATTTATAATTTTTAAAAATGGACACAAAAAGCTCGACTTCATCTTAAGTCTACGTAAGAAAGTTCAAATAGGTATCTTCCTTCTATCTCCTAGTCTAAACACCAGTCTCTTTTCTTTTTTTTTAATTACGGGTTATACAAAGCTTCTTTGTATGACTGTTTCTAGCCAGACTCCCTGCCCAACTGTCACTGTTGATTGTCAAGTGCAGCTCCTACTTGCCACTCTTCTCTTTCCCCACAACATTTTGTTCCCTGGACCCACTTATCTATACTCCAAAGCAGAGCTGGAAGAAAATGCAAAAGCTCTCTTGTCCCTCGACTTTGGGCATCACATTTAAAATGACATCTTACCACACTGCCCATATAAATAAATTGTTTAAACAATCCTATATTGCCAAATGTGCCACTGTTTACTTCAGTTATTTACTAATCCAGTTAGTAAATACCTCTCTAATTTTGCCGAATGTTCAAGACAAGTTCCTTAAATAGGTACAATGATTTTGTGAGTCTAGGAAGGAAATTTCAGCTGAATGAAAGTTAGAAAGTTAGTAAGCATTCAATCTGTAAAGAAAGGTAAGAAAGGGAACAAAGAAAGGTAAAAAAAATGGTAATAAAAGAAAGAAAAGTAATAGAGGAAAGGCAATAAAGGAAAGCTTACAAACTTTATCTACAAAGTTCACAAACTCTAATCTAAAAATCTACAAACAAGAAAAATATGAAATCAAAACACACACACGTACATGTACAACAAGGGATTGAGCTCCAGTGATATAAAGCTTAATACCAGGCCCAGAATGTTTTCTTCTGCCATACTGAGAAAAACCATTCCTTTTCCACATAATGTTAACCTTCTGAAATTCTATGAACCACGGTGTGACAGAAAACCTAAGCCTAGCACAAGCAAAAATTTTCTTCAGTTACTAACTTATCATATAAGTGCAAAACAACTACAATCATTCTTTGTTATTCTCTCTATTCCCAGCCTAATAAAGATGGGGGGGGGCACTTAGTTGTGTATAAAACAAGGATTCAGTCTTTAGTTAGAAAATAAATTAAAGCAACTGTTAAAAAAATAATTAAAAACACTTGCTAATTTCTGAAACCATTTTAACTGGCTTCAGAATTTCAATATTATTATTCTTAAGAATGAAAACTAAATAAACAATATTAAATTGTATACTACCACAGATAATATCCCAGTTACAAATAATTACAAGAAACCTTCATATCTAAGAATTTTAATACAATTTACAGTTTTCACAGTTAAAATGCATATAATTTTGCTGGCATTAATTTGTATGGATAATGAAGCAGAAATATGAACAAATGTCCATTATTTTGCTTGAACCTATCAATTGCCAAAATCAATCAATTGCCATGACTGCTCATAAATATTCTGTCAAGACAGTTTGGTATTTCACAAAGATATGCCAACTTCACACTCCCATCAATGAAGTTTTTTTTTATTATTATTTTCCAGAGCAAATGCAATATCCGCCCTAGAAATTGGC